CATTTAGAAAAGTGTTGATAAGTTGGCGACCCTCCAGTTACCGCATGAATTAGGCAACAAAACATATCTAAATGTCTAGTCGAAAATCTGAAAAAAAACTCTGTTCACCATGTCGGTGATGCATAATTAGATTAAGCTGAATTGTCAGTAAAGTTATTGGTCCATTTGATACTTTATCAAAACACACTTAAATTTGGGCTGGACCGAGGCTCGCCAGCTGAGGTTTCTGTCGACCGCTTCCTTTAAACTCGATCTTGTTGCCTAAGTGTCTTCGAAGACTTCCTGTTTACGGCGTTTTCCCGTAAGCAAATCGCTTTCCCACATACATACATTCTCGGGGCCTTTCTGCTGACCTCTCTTATGGCATCGAGCGATGGGATTGACAAAAATGCAAATCCTATCACTGATAAGGCAAATCCAGCCATATTGAGTGGTTCTCATTGGTTGTTCAAATCGCTTTTTCATTGGCTATTATTTCAATAATATTCCGTTCACAGCCCTTATCGGTCAAATATATTATCTGAGCCTTTCATATCACCATTCCCCTTTTCTGAATACCTGTTGTTTGTATAGGACTCTTTGAGGTGTTTGGTGGGCGTCGGATTCGACTGTATACGCACGATTATATGAAACATATCACGTTTTACTATTATGCCTCCTCCATTGGCTTCCCGCTTGAGGCAAATTTCCACTTTATGCCCAACTTGCGGAAAAACTGTTAGCATCATTTTCAGTAGATTTAATAGGTGGAGTCCATGATACTATCGCTAGGTCTTGAATAATCACTGTATTCACCCTAGATCGTGTAATGTGTTACATGGCATATAATGCAATTTTCCCATATCAACATGATCAGGCCTTGGAATGCCATTAATTTCACATAGCCTTAAATCGTAGCTATGAAATTCAAGTCGGTGTGACCATACGTTTGGTTGCATTATTATTTAGCTGTATAATGTTGGCTTGAAGTCGCTTTCACAACTTGCTGGAGACGGCAGAAAACCTTGTGGAATATACTTGGTCCAGCTAATCTGCCATAGTAATCATGATAATTTCCAGCAACAGACCGTTGGGTTGATGCATTCTCAACGCAAAAATTTGCATTTTCCACAGTATTTCACTTAGCTTTGCCCCTCAAAAAGTCTTCTTATCCAGGGTGGGCTGCATTTTTCATCTTGCTTGTGTTTCATCAGCATCCTGCTAGGGAAAGTAACATTAGATTAATAGAGAATAGCTTTTTGAATGGTGAATATGTAAGGAGAGATAAGGATACCTTTTCTAATGTTTTGTCTCTACCTCCGTGCATTCCCTCTGAAAAGATAGGCGAACAAGTAAGGAAGGGGGGAATAAAAACGGTATTCAGGGTAGCTAGAACACTTTCTTCAATTATGCCCACTTTTAGAGAGAAAGTTGATCCATTATCCAGACCGTGTTGCTACAAAATTATGTTTTCGTGTGGTCGCTTTTATGTTGAAAAGACTTGTCGTCCCATTCGACAAAGGGTGGCTGAGCACAAAAGCGCCTGCAAGGGCTGTTGTGCTCAAAAATTGGAGCTTCCTGAGCACAGGGCAAAAACGGGACACGAGATTGAATGGTCTCAAACTTGCCATTTTGCTGATTATGGTATGTTTGCGGCTCGTAAAATTAGAGAAACCAGAGAAATAAACCGAATAGGAAATGCATTAAATGTAAGGATTACTGGTAAGAGGATAAGTAAAAATTAATTGTGCTTAATTAATAGACTCAAGGATAGACAAGGAGTTGAGCCGCCTGCAAAAAGGAGGCGACGCAACTATTCTTTTCTTGTAGATACGAGCTCTAACAATATTCTTTTCTTGTCATAGTCGCGTCTCTGTACTTTTAGCTCACTTTTTCTCTCTCGCTTTGAGACCAAAAACAAAAAAAGGCTCATCAACAAAACCAGATGTGTGCCCGACTTCGCGCAATCGGAGTGATGGTTATAACTTCAATGTAGAAAGGAGGAGATAGGAGTCATCAACCCTTGATGGTCAAAAACAGACGTTCCTTTTTGCTGTCCTAATTACTTTAAGCCATCACTGCGGGTTTCGTGCATAAGCGAGCACAAACAGGCACATAAACATGCAGAGACAGAGACACTCACATGCATCGAAGTTGACATATGAGCATAACTAACCAAATCACTTTATACTTGAGCATGAGGCCAGATGTAAAGTATATATACCACTTTTTAGGGATTTTCCGGTGAGTCTTCTTGACTCGTTTAGGTTGAATTTTGTTGTGACGATGATACCTTGCTCTAATGATGTTCGTCAGACGAAAGCTTAGCACCTTTTCACCGGAATCGAAGGAGATTGCCTCGGAAACAGCGTCAGCATGAAT